GTTCCGTATGATATAATTAAATCTAGTGTATGATTTAGACGATGAGTGGGACCACTGACATTCTGCTTGACCCCAAAGGAGTTTAATAAATCTGTAAACGCAGTCCCTAACGCATCGTTTGTGTTATCTACGTGTATGTTAAAATCTCCAACAATTATTGCTTTATCGGCATTGACCAATAGATCTGAGAGAAAGTCTGCAAACTCTTTTAGGAAATCAGCATATGGTCCTGGAGGTCTATATACAGTAGCCAAGGCTAGAGATAATAGGGATTTATTTCTTACATCTAAGAGCGCAACGTTTAGCACCAGTACTTCAAACGAATTAAACCTGTGACCTGTTTTCTGAGTTACATTAAGAATATCTCTATAGATTGTTGCAACACCGCCGCCACGACCGATCAGACGGGGCTCATGTTTATAACAGTATCCTGGCGGGGTAGACTCATTTAGACCGAAATACTCGTTTGGTTTAAGCCAGGTTTCAGTAAGGCAAAGTACATCGAAGCTATTATCTGTGACCATTTCATTTACAATAACCGCCTTAGGTGTGAGCGATCTAATGTTTAGAAGACCTAGTTTTAGAAATTGTTTTTGTTCACTGATATTTAGATTTTCAGGTTTAATTACAATAAGATTTTTCCTAGATCCTACAGTGGATTTATTATTTGGCCTCACTAAACGAGGAATAGACACAGTTTCTATATAATATTCTACACTACTTATATCAATTAAATTGGCACAGCAAAGACTGTGATTTGGAATTTGATTTTCTAGTCATACGGTGTGCAACGTCTTGGAGATGTTGTCCGACAGAACAGCCGCTCCGATTCTGCTGGGGTGCAGGCCATCAGCACGGTAGAGCCTAGGTCGCTCCCAGAACAGATTCCAATTATTTACAAAGAGCAGTTTTTGTTCATTACACAATGACATTAACCATTCATTTAGTGCAAATAATCTACTGAACCTTTCCTGTCCTTGTCGGTACGTGGGAAGCGGTCCAGACACGATGATCGTTGCCTCAGGCGCTGTGGTGCGTACCGCCTCGATCAGGCTCCTGTAGTCCTTCTTCAGAACCTCCGTCTGCCGCAGCCTGATATCGTTTGTTCCAGCGTGAAGCACCACAGCTCCGACGCGCTCTTCACCGTTCAGGATCTCGGGAACCTGTGCGGCGACATCAAGTACACGAGCACCAGGAAGGCAGTGAGTGCGCACCTTACCCTTACCTGAGGTAGCACGGACATGACGGACCATGGAAGTGCCAATGATCACGGCGTCGTCGCGTTCCGACTCGCGAAGAGGGGAGAAGCGGTTCCGGGTGGAGATCTCGAAGACCGGGAGGGGCGGAGAGGTTCTTGCTCTGGTCCTGGCTCGTGTCTTCCGCTGTGGGATCACCCAGGGTCCATGGTGTTGGGTTGGTGCCGGAGTGAATGATGCCAGAGATGATCGCGTCCTCCTGGGCAGAGAAACGCACGGAGTGGACGAAGTCGGAGTCAAAAAGTTACTAACCACTGACTTGTGTGCATCGGCGCGTGACGTTTCAAGCGCTGATCGCCGATCCCGCAGCTCGGCTTGCCTCTCTAGCAGACCACGGATCTGTTTCTCCACCGATTCAAGCTCCAATCGTACCGAAATGAGTTCGAATGTGTCCTCACCTGCACTCAGAGGTAACGTTAGACACACATCTGATATGTTCGCCATAACAGATGAACAGTAGATTAGTAGTGATACTACCAATATCACTAGTAATTTAGGACTGAAATGCTGGATATAACCTGTATCCTTTCAGTGAAACGGGTGTAAAATCAGACGGTCAATAGGCGCGAGGCCACGCGTGAAATGCTAGCGGACTAAAGGCTAGTAGCCGAGATTCGCAAAGTTGGGTCTAAGTAGCGATATCAAAGCAATCCGATTGTTTTTTATAAGGAATAGTATCGATTATAAGTTCCCATGATATAAAAATAGAAAGTGCTTGTTTATAAATGAGTGGTAAAAAAGAAAATCAAGGATTAATGAATTGATTCGACGGAGCTTTCAAACACAAACACCGACTGCTCGCGCATGCGCGTCTGAAGTGAGTTACAATCATTCGATGTTTTAGCGGGATTTCCTTAACAGGATTTTCCGATCTTTTTTATTTTAGTTTGTTATTTTTGTACGGTGAAAGCAGTTAGAGCATTTGTCTCGGGAACACGTCCGTGTTTGTAGTAGTGACTCGTTAATTGGTTGCTATTGCAAACGCTGGTTTATAGTGTATAAAAACCCGCTGCAAGTAACTGTATGAAGATTAGGGTTGAGTTTAGGTAGTTTTAAATCTTAGTTAGAGGGAATTGCTTATTCCAACTTCTGTCTTTAAACTTTTATTTTGTTTTTTCTTGAAAATTTAGTAGCCATACATTTTTCATAATGTCCTCAAACGTTGAGGAATTTGTTAGCGCACCGTCTGAGAGCTTGTTGAATGACTTAACCAAGGATCAATTATTAGAACTTGCAGAATTCTACAAAATTAATCTGATGAGTCAAGATAAACGTCTAAAAGATCAGATTAAAACCTTGGTAAAGACAGAGTTAGTTGAACGTGGCATTTTAGAGACTCAATTTTCAGAAGACACGTTAACTTTTGGCAATGCGACATCAACACAGTCTCATTTAACATTTGAACAACAAAAGCAATTATTGATAATTCAAGTAGAGATGAAAGAAAAGCAGTTAGAAGCGCAAAATCACATTGAAATCTCTAAAGTCCAATTGCAGCAACAACAACTTGAACTTGAACGTTATCGTTTGGATTTAATAAGAGAGGGTAAACTTTCTATTACTGGAGAATCAGTACGTGATTCAAGTTCATACAAGTTTGATACGGTAAGAAATATGAGATTGATTCCTAAATTTGATGAGAGAGAGGTTGAGCGTTTCTTTATATTGTTTGAACGTGTTGCGGATGCACAACGTTGGCCAGATGAAGAGCGAACGCTTATGTTGCAGTCTGTATTTACAGGCAGAGCTCAAGAAGCGTATTCTTCCCTTAGTGTAGAGGATGCTTCTGATTATCAAGCTGTAAAATCAGCAGTGTTGAGGGCTTATGAACTAGTTCCAGAGGCCTATAGACAAAAGTTTAGGTCCTGGAAGAAGAGTGAAAAACAGACGTATGTTGACTTTGTACACGATATTTCGGTCTATTTTAATCGTTGGTGTGTAGCTTCTGATGTAAAAACACTCGACGATTTAAAAGAATTAATGGTACTTGAACAATTCAAGAGTTCCATTTCAGATCGCATTGCAACTTACATTAGCGAGCATAAACCTGACACTGCGTATGAGGCGGCCGTCATGGCTGATGAATTCTCGTTGTCTCATAAAACTGTTTTTGGTTACAGATCGGGTGGAGAAAATTTTAAAAAAGAGCCGTGGCGAAGTTCTAGTAAGTTTACCAGGTTTGTGAATGATTTACCCAGCAGACAGTTGCATAGCTCTGTTGAAGAAAAAGACAGAGCAAATATGTGTAATTATTGTCATGAGTTTGGTCACTGGAAGAATGAATGTCTCTTATTGAAAGCAAAAGCTGACAATTCTAAAGTGAAATCTAATTCTTGGTCTCCTGTAAAGTCTGTGGCGTTGGCTGTGACTACTTCAACAGTGAATAATGTGCAGAAAATGTGCTCGCCATGTGGTTCAGCATTTACTCCTTTTGTTACAGAAGGTTCTGTTAGGTTGGTAGATTCCACAAAAGTCGTACCAGTAAAGGTTCTACGTGATACAGGATCATCAGAAACCTTTGTGTTAGAGTCTGCGCTGCCTTTTTCACCTGATTCTTACACTGGAAGTAATGTGCTGATTAAGGGCATTGGCTTGAATGTTATGTCTGTTCCACTGCATAAAGTTATTTTGCAATCTGTATTGGTCCAGGGAGAAGTGGAGGTGGCTGTTCGTTCCTGCTTGCCTGTGGAAGGAATACAGGTAATTCTGGGGAATGACTTGGCTGGTGATCGTGTCTGGCGGAATGATTTACCACATCTAGTGGTAACACCATGCCCAATGATCTTGAAACCAGATGGTGGTGAGAATTTGACCTGTTCAAGTGTGTTACCCACTTGTGTGATAACACGATCTATGAGTAAAACACAAGCTGAGGTAAAACATGAATCTAAGAAGGTGGTGACGGAAACTCTAGAAGTTCCTTCAATTTTATCAGTGTCACGTGATGAACTGGTTGAAAAACAAAAAACTGACTCAACTCTTGTTGAATTGTTTGACCGGGTTGTATCATATGACGCAATTGAGAATCTTTCATCTGGGTATTACCTAGATGAAGGATTGCTAGTTCGAAAATGGGTGCCACAGGGAGAGTTTGCGTTGGGTGATCCCATGGTGCAAGTTGTAATTCCTCAGTCTCTTCGGCAGCTAGTGTTACAGACTGCTCATGATACGTCTGGGCATATGGGAGTGAAAAAGACGTACAAATTACTTTTGAAACGGTTCTTTTGGCCGAAATTGAAGCGTGATGTGTCTAAATATATTAAATCTTGTCACACATGTCAGCTTACTGGGAAGCCAAATCAATCTTTGAAACCTGCTCCTCTTTTTCCGATTCCAGCCATTAGTCAGCCGTTTGAACATCTCATTGTAGATTGTGTCGGGCCGTTGCCTAAATCAAAAGCAGGAAGTGAGTATTTGCTTACAATCATGTGCCAAGTAACTAGATATCCTGCTGCATATCCTTTACGCTCTGTGACGGCAAAACTAGTCATAAAGGCGCTGACTCGGTTCATTTCAATATTTGGAATACCACGAATTATCCAATCTGATCAGGGAAGTAATTTCACTTCTAATTTGTTCGGTCAAGTGTTGAATCAACTTCATATTCAACATAACCTCTCCAGTGCTTATCATGCCCAAAGTCAGGGAGCACTGGAGAGATTTCATCAAACGTTAAAATCTCTTTTGAGGTCGTACTCTGTTCAAATGGGTAAGGACTGGGAGACTGGTCTGCCTTGGTTGATGATGGCGGCTCGGGAAGCTGCGCAAGAAAGTACTGGGTTCAGTCCGAACGACCTTGTTTTTGGACACGACGTGCGAAGTCCGTTGGCTGTTTTATCTGCTGACTGGGAAAAGTCTGATCCACCGAAAAAATTTTTGTCATATGTTAGTGATTTTCGTAGACGAGTTTATGAGGCGTGCCACTTGGCGAAGTCATCTCTGAGCAAATCACAAGATCGAATGAAACTACTTTTTGATCGTCGAACAGAGTTGCGTTTGTTTCAAGTTGCGTGGTCCCACTCATCGTCTAAATCATACACTAGATTTAATTATATCATATGGAACCAATCCAACTGATATAGATATTATACCGCAAAGTGATGATGTCACTGATCATTACATGGTAACGTGCATAATACGTACTGCTGAAATATGTCATGTTGCGCCACGTTATAGACCAGGCAGAACAATCCTTCCAACCACTATAGATAGATTCTCAAATAGCTTACCTGATCTATCTCAGCTGCTCAGTGAACCCAAACAAACAGATGAACTAGAGGAAATGACTAGCAGTTTGAGCACCATTTTCACTAGTACATTAGATATTGTTGCACCAATTAGATTAAAAAAGGTTAAAGAGAAAACTAAAGCACCATGGTACAACAGTGTTACGCATGATATCAAGAGAGAAACTCGTAACCTAGAGCGTAAATGGAAACAAACTAATTTAGAGGTCTTTAGAATCGCGTGGAAAGACAGTATGTCACGTTATAAAAAGGCTCTAAAAACAGCCAGGGCTGAGCACCTCCGCAAACTAATAGAAAATAACCAAAATAATCCAAGGTTCTTATTTAACACCATGGCTAGACTAACAAATAAACAGACATCACCAGAGCAAAATATACCGTTACAGTTTAGTAGTAATGATTTTATGAATTATTTCAATGAGAAAAAAGAAAGCATTCGAAACACAATTATAAATGTACAATCCTCTATGGTCTCTTATGATTCAGCCTCAATTATCGTCCCTCAAGAACAACTACACCGCTTTGCAACGATAGGACAGGAAGCGCTAAATAAACTTATTATTGCATCTAAACCAACAACATGCTCATTAGATCCAATACCCACTAAACTACTGAAAGAAGTGTTACCTGTAGTGGAAGAGCCTCTTCTTAATATTATTAACTCGTCTTTATTCTTAGGTCATGTGCCAAGAATATTCAAGTTGGCAGTAATAAAACCTCTCATTAAGAAACCGCAACTAGATCCAAATAACCTAGCAAATTACAGACCCATTTCAAATCTTCCATTTATGTCCAAAATACTAGAAAAAGTTGTATCCGCTCAACTGTGCTCTTTTTTGCAAGAAAATGATATCTATGAAAAATTCCAGTCAGGATTCAGACCGCATCATAGTACAGAAACTGCGCTAGTTAAAATTACAAATGATCTACTCTTAGCTTCTGACCAAGGCTGTATCTCAATACTAGTCCTACTTGATCTTAGCGCCGCGTTCGACACTATAGATCATAAAATACTCTTGGATCGACTACAAAACTACACTGGTGTTCAGGGACAGGCATTAAGCTGGTTTAGATCGTACTTATCTGACCGTTATCATTTTGTCTCTTTACACGGGGGAAAATCAAAGTTAACGTCAGTAGACTACGGAGTACCGCAAGGATCGGTGCTAGGCCCTCTGCTATTCTCAATATATATGCTGCCACTTGGTAATATTATAAGAAAACATGGAATTAATTTCCACTGTTATGCTGACGACACTCAATTATATATTTCATCACGACCAGATGAAAACATTACCTCATCTAAATTGACAGAATGTCTCAAAGATATAAAATGCTGGATGACGCGTAATTTCCTGCTATTAAATTCAGATAAAACGGAGGTATTACTTATTGGTCCAAAAAACTACACACAAAACCTCTTACAATACGACTTTAATATAGAAGGATGCCCTGTTACTTTTTCCACTACAGTAAAAGACCTGGGTGTTATACTAGACCGCAACTTGTCTTTCGAAAATCATATTTCATCTGTTACAAGAACAGCCTTTTTCCACCTTAGAAACATTGCTAAATTACGTAACATGCTATCTGTTTCTGATGCAGAAAAGTTAGTTCATGCATTCATGACCTCGAGACTAGATTACTGTAATGCTTTATTAGCTGGTTGTCCTGCATCCTCAATAAACAAGCTACAGTTAGTGCAAAATGCAGCCGCTAGAGTTCTTACTAGATCAAGAAAATATGATCATATAACACCGATTTTATCATCTCTGCACTGGTTACCTATTAAGTTCCGTATCAATTACAAAGTACTACTACTGACCTATAAAGCCCTTAATGGTTTAGCTCCTATGTACTTAACGGACCTTCTTTCGCCCTACAATCCACCGCGTTCTCTAAGATCACTAAATTCAAGGCTTCTGGTCATTCCTAGGATATCGAAGTCCACGAAAGGAGGGAGGGCATTCTCGCATTTAGCTCCAAAACTCTGGAATAGCCTTCCCGATACGGTCCGATGCTCTGACTCGCTGACACAGTTTAAAACTAGACTAAAGACGTGTCTCTTTAGTCAAGCATTCACATAATGCTTACCTTTTAGTCCTCTGCTATGCCATACGGAACCGTTTGCCACTGAAACTGCTTAACGCACCAGTGGGGCTCGACAGCCTTATAGACAAACGGGTCGGTCCGTATGGTTGCGGTTGGGTTGCGGAGAGTTTGGGTTGCGGAGAGTTGTGAGATTATGGTTTTCTAACACCTACTCCCGTGTAATGGAAATCATTATGAACATCAGCTATGCTAATTATTTCCCATCTGCCTTTCTGCTGTTATCTCGGGACGCTTGTCCCGAGAAAAATGGCGTTCGTAGGCTCCAGTTTGGTATCCTGCCTCTCACGGGGATTTCGGATGCCTCAACGCCTGTGATGAGAAGACCAACGCCTGTGAAGAGACGACTCAACGCCTGTGAAGAGACGACTCAACGCCTGCGAAGAGACGACTCAACGCCGGCGATATGTTATCCCCTAAATATTACATGATTAACTAAATGTATTTTTTCCAGGTACTCCCTGATATGCACTTACTGTAAAGCTTCTTTAAAACCCTATGATTGTTAGCCAGAGGAGAACTGGCCCCTGACTAGCCTGGGTTCTCCCAAGGTTTTTTTCTCCATCCAATCTGATGGAGTTTTGGTTCCTTGCCACTGTCGCCTTGCTTTTGGCTTGCTTAGTTGGGGATATTTAATATTCAACAATATTATTGAACTGTGTTGTACTACTTTCATGTTATCACTGTGAAGCTGCTTTGATGCAATCTGTATTGTGAAAAGCGCTATATAAATAAATGTGACTTGACTTGACTTGACTTGTTTCAACCTGGTGACCAGGTACTGGCGTTGTTGCCTGTTGTTGGGTCACCGTTTCAGGCTAAGTTTGTCGGACCATATACTGTTGCTCGTCAGATTTCTGATTTGAATTATTTGATTAATACGCCAAATCGAAGAAAAAAGACTAGAATGTGTCACATAAACTTGTTAAAGCCTTATTATGCTCGTAAAGATTTCGAAGACCTTATGACAAAAGACCAAGTTAGTCTGCCTGATTCGCATGTTAAACCTGTTATGTTTGCAGATGTTTCTGTTAATAATGACAGTGTTGAATTGGTTCCGACTCCAGTAGCTGGGGAGGAAGGTGAAATCTATCCGGGAGATTGTGTTCTTCAAGGTCGTCTTAGAAACTCAGAAGCACTGAGTTCTTTGAGCGTTCGGCTTGGTCATCTATTAGGTCTGTACAACATTGATGTGGGAGGTGTAAGTCCAATTCGTCAACGTTATTATCGAGTGTTTGCGAATAAGAAAAAACTACAGGATGATGAAATCGAATATATTCTAAAAATGACTTCGCTGAACCTGTTTCTAGTTGGGCTTCTCCACCTTGTATGTTGGGTCATCAGAGGGATCTTTGGTGGTCTATACGGATCACAATCATTTAGTTTTTCTGCACTCCTTACAAAACCCCAACCTCGGTTTTCTGCTGACGTCTTGTCCCGTGTTTGAGTGCTTTAAAGTCTGATTTCTCTGACTGTGTCTCTCTTTTTCTTTCTTAATTTTGCTTCCTAGGCGCCAGGTTGCTGAAAGTGGGAGAGTTGACGGGATTGGGGAGAATTGCAGGCCGAACCAACTATTGCTACTTGGACAAATTGAGTTGTGGGAGTTGTTTGTTTTTATTAAGACTCTGTGCTCTCTTCTTTTTAGGGGGGGGTGTGTGACGGGTCTCCGGTTGTTCCCGCTGTGTCGACCGGTGGGTGTGACTGGGAGACTCATCAAGAGAATGATGTACACCTGTGTAGGATCATCAAGTGATATACACCTGTATATAAGCTTAGGCTTTGAGAATGTGGAGTGAGCTTCGAGATCTTCAGAGCTGCAAGACTCTTGTGAGAGCTTTTGCTCCCGTACCTTTTTGTGTTGGGTTTGTTTATTTTCCTTTGCTATGATTTGATCTTAGTTCTGTCTGACATCTTAACACCGCTTGTCAGACAGAAATGGCAGTTGTGTTGTAATTGATTTCCTGTTATATATATTTTTCTATTTATGTTAATAAATACACCTTCAACCTGACCAACTTCACTATGTCCTCCACTCATTTGTCACGGCTTTGAGCCGGTCGTGACATTTACAAAGAGCAGTTTCTGTTCATTACACCATGACATTAACCATTCATTTAGAGCAAATAGTCTACTGAACCTTTCTTGTCCTAGTCGGTACGTGGGAAGCGGTCCAGACACGATGATCGTTGCCTCAGGCGCTGTGCTGCGTACCGTCTCGATCAGGCTCCTGTAGTCCTTCTTCAGAACCTCCGTCTGCCGCAGCCTGATGTCGTTCGTTCCCGCATGGAGGACAACGGCTCCGACGCGCTCGTCACCGTTCAGAATCTCGGGAACCTGTGCGGCGACATCAAGAACACGAGCACCAGGAAAGCAGTGAGTGCGCACCTTACCCTTACCTGAGGTAGCGTGGACATGACGGACCATGGAAGTGCCGATGATCACGGCGTCGTCGCGTTCCGACTCGTGAAGAGGGGAGAAGCGGTTCCGGGTGGAGATCTCGAAGACCGGGAGGGGCGGAGAGGTTCTTGCTCTGGTCCTGGCTCGTGTCTTCCGCTGTGGGATCACCCAGGGTCCATGGTGCTGTGTCGGTGCCGGAGTGAATGAAGCCAGAGATGATCGCGTCCTCCTGGGCAGAGAAACGCACGGAGTAGAGGAAGTCGGAGTCAAAAAGTTACTAACCACTGACTTGTGAGCATCGGCGCGTGACGTTTCAAGCGCTGATCGCCGATCCCGCAGCTCGGCTTGCCTCTCCAGCAGACCACGGATCTGTTTCTCCACCGATTCCAGTTCCAATCTTACCGAGATCAGCTCGAATGTATCCTCACCTGCACTCAGAGGTAACGTTAGACACACATCCGATATGTTCGCCATTATAACAGATGAACAGTAAATTAGCAGTGATACTACCAATATCACTACTAATTTAGGACTGGAATGCTGGATATAACCTGTATCCTTTCAGTGAAACGGGTGTAAAATCAGACGCTCGATAGGCGCGAGCCCACGCGTGAAATGCTAGCGGGCTAAAGGCTAGTAGCCGAGATTCGCAAAGTTGGATCTAAGTAGCGATATCAAAGCAATCCGATTGTTTTTTTATAGGGAATAGTATCGAGGATAGGTTCACACGATATAAAAATAGAAAGTGCTTGTTAATAAATGAGTGGTAAAGAAGAAAATCAAGGATTAATGAATCAATTCGACGGAGCTCTAAACACAAACAAACACCGCACGCGCATGCGCAGGGAGGTTAAGGAGATGACATCCACGGTGGACTCCTCCAGCACCATAAGAGAGATCTCTTCCGAATGTAAACAGCCAACACAAAGAGTTAGAGGGGGTGTATAATGGCGAATACGACCTCGACCTAGTGGCTTGCCTTGTATGATTTGGACGGGAAGATCTTGAACCAGCCGACGTCGCCGGATATTCAGTTTTTGGAGGAACTGGGATGATATGAAGTTCCCCGCTGACCCGGAGTCAACGAGGGCTTGCGCTGGGAGACAAACACAGGAGGTTAAGATATGCACACTGGTTCGCGTTAGGGATTCAATCTTCGGGGTGAGTTGGATAGAACTTACCGCCTGCCGCGGAGGACGTACAGGGCAAGAACTGAGGAGATGCTTGTCTGACGCACAGTATAGACAGAGGGAATGTTGAAATCTGCGCTGGCGTTCAACAGCAGAAAGGTGAGTGGAGTCTATTTCCATAGGAACTGGTGCTGGAGGAGTGACAAATGGAGCCGGAGGCGGAGAACTTACAGTGGGTACAAACCGATCACAAGCAGTGAGGCGCTGGGAAGTCCGGATTGTCATCTGAATCAGATTCTCTAACCCCATGCTGTCTTCATACACGACCAACAGCTGGCGGATATTGGGATTCAATCCGTGACGGAAGGCTGAGATCAGGGCAGTTTCATTCCAACCGCTAGACGCGGCGAGAGTGCGGAACTGAAGGGCATAAGAACTCACAGAGGAATTTCCCTGACGAAGGTTAAATAGCTGGTCATGAATGGACAGTTCAGATACTGTTTGCCCAAAAACTTCTTTGAAATGCTGTTTGAAAGCAGAAAAGGATTTGACCACCGGTGAATCTGAATCCCATAAAGACTGACCCCACCGAAGCGCGTGACCAGATAACAATGATATAATGAAAGCCACACGGGCTTCGTCACTACGGAATTGATGCTCATTCATGGTGATGTACAAGGATACTTGCAACAGAAACCCACTGCAGTTCTCCGCCTCACCCGAGTATGTCGCTGGCCGGGCCATGGGACTCGCAGAGGCAGTGAACGAAGCAGCGGGAGCTTGCGGAAGTGGAGGTGGTGGAAAGATCGCTGCAGCGACCAGTGGATGATTCAGTGAGGGATCCTCTTCAGGCTCCGACTGGCTCTGCATCTTGTGGTCTGGTCTTCTGTCAGGGTTCTCAGTCGAAGCAGACCAGGTGGTAAGTTATTAGTGCTTTTATTGCAGCAAAGATCGCAGTCAGAGATAACAGGTGAGAAATCAAAGGCACAGAAACATAAAGGAAGCTTAGCTGAGGATAATGTCCTTCTCTTTCTCTTTGTTGTAGGTGGCTTGACGGAGGTTCAGAACAGATGGATAGAGCTTGACGGAAGGTAACAGGTAGGTAATCTGAGAGTCTGTGAGCCATGAATTGACGAGACCAGACAAGTGACTGCAGTGAGAATGAATGTTTTATAGTCCATGTGGGTGATGGGACACAGGTGACGGTGATTAGTAATTAGGGGATAATGAACGGGGAAATGTCCGATTGGATGAAAGGGAATGAGTGGGCGGTGATGATGATCGTGGTGGAGATGGAATCCTGACAGTGTGTGTGTGTGTGTGTTCGTGTTCCAAGACCATATATTAAAAAACTTATATACAATTTGATTTCCTGAAACCTCCAGGAAGTGACGATGTAAAAGATGTGGACGGTTGAGAAGAAGTGTCAGGACAATCACACTGCATTCTGTTTAAGTAAGCAATGCAAATATATTACATAACTAGAGTATTTGACATATTACACTATTTGTATGGTGCATTTTGAGTCCACAGGGGTTTTTAATTTTATATTATTACAACATTATTTCCCTGTTATCTCTGTAAAGCTGCTTTGAAACCATCTGTATTGTAAAAAGCGCTGTATAAATAAAGGTGAGTTGACTTGACACAGAGCACAGTTGCATTACAGCATGTTATCATAATTTATGGTGGCATAATAAATATTATGGTCACTCTAACAGCATAGCATATCCTATTCAAAAGCATTTCCTGTAATATATCCCACCATACGTTTCCAGATATCTGACAGTAACCAAACATTTTTCTTTATAAAAAAAATCAAGTTGACGCTATTTTAACCATACTTTGAATTATTATTTAGGCTGCTTATAAAATATTTG